AAATTTGTAATGATCATGATACATTGACGATTCATGATTATTGATTCATTGTTCATGACCATAAGAAGGAGGTATTGACTGTACTCATGTAAATATTATTGAATCGTAATGAAATAGTAATAAGTAGTATTTCCCTGCTTTTGGGGGAGTGAGCTGCTGGTGTAGTGGTAGAGCGTGAGACTTCGTTCCCTGAGGTATTGGGTTAAAATTTCGCCATATCACCAATGGATCTTATGCGCAAGTGATAATGCCGCAAACACTCTGTTTAGTTTAAAGTAATGCGTAAAACAATTCCGGGGTAGTGCCAAATGTTCTAGGTCAAAAAAATTACCGGCGTTTAAATTATTTTTGATAATTAGAAAATTACGATACACAAATATGTTATCAAAACCTTGTCATTATTATACAGTATAATTCGGGGGTAATACTTCCTTGTATTGAATTACTTCCCTTCAGCATTATTTTATAAGATGATATTATTTTAAATAACCACTATAAACAACCATAAACATGACCAATGTTGGTTGTTTCATTAGACAGCTAATCCAACTAACAAGGTCAATAAAAGCTAATGGTGTATACATTTAAATTTATAGAGCAGATAGTTTTTCAAGTTAATTCTACTAACTTTATTAGCTCTGCAGATTATTTTTCACATTAATATTATGACAGTCAATTCATTATAAAGTCTTTAATACTGTAAAAATAAAATTATAACTTTTACCTCACATTTAAGCACAATATTTTTAAACGCATTTTAAGTTTACTTCAAACTTTGGAAAAAAATGGTAAATATAACATTGTAGAAAATACATTTATAGAAAGGGTGTGTTAAGTATTATGAATATTTTTGAGTAAAGACTGTTTTCAACGAAGGAAGATCTTATGAGGATGTGTTCTGTGAGTACTTTTTGAGTAGAATGTTTTGTTGCATTTTATAAATGTGAAAACAAATACTTTAGTACAAGATCATTGATTATAAACGATTCTGATTTAATCCTTTACTAAAATATTGAAATTTGACCATTGTAACTACAGGGATTACTTAGTAGTTTAATCCTTCATATCTTATGTTTTCCTTATAAGTTAGGAACATTCGTGATTTTAACAATTTAAACCCAAGTTTGACCTTTCACCAAACGAACTCCTTATGACAGTTAGAAGACTTTTTATAATCATATAAAATATTCTAACCATATTCAACTTACAGCATTCTCCTCCTACCCATCTAGTTACTCTGATCTACCAAAAGTTGGAATTTACAAAAAAATGGAATCCTAATGTTTAGGAATGGAGCGTTGTTAGCTGTGTAACGATTAAAGACAGATTGGGGTTTCCCTCAATTTGGGAATTGGCTCAATTACTTCGTGAGATTCTCGTCGTTTGTTTCTCAATGGCTCATTGGAGACTTACCTCCCTCCCTGTATTTACCACAGGTACATTTCAGGTCAGAGGTTTACGTTTTTTCATGTTCTGTATTCACAAGATGTGCCCAACAAACAATAATATGCCTGGATTTAAATAGGGTGTTTTTCAGTCAATAATTGAGGTTTTATGACTTTTTATTTGGTCAAAGACGTCTATATACATTTTGTTTCTCCATTACTGTCCCATTCATTTAACATAAATTTAGCTTTAAACGTGTAAATAATTTGCCGTTACATACAGACCAGTATTCAAAGTAAGCAAATATATAGAGTGGGAAAAGGTCCCGGGAACAACTAACTGAGCCCAAAATGACAGCCGTTCAAAGATTAAAAATTGCAAAAATATCTTTATTTTTAATTGCTGCAATTTTTGACTCTATGGTCCGTTTGAGTTCGGGTATGGAGCATTGTTTTACTTTTAATATAATGTGCATATCAAATCAACCTATGCTTACATTATAAAACTACTTCTGACTCCTAGCGGTGAGATAGTGATAGTACTGAATAATTATTTTAAATGGTGTTTATGCCTAGTTACTTTATACCAAGTATTATAGATATCTTAATCATTTTTTGAAATATTTACCTTAACCCCCCCGGGTTTTTTCACCCTGTACATGTTTATATAGGCTACTTTTTGTCCACCTTGATATTCTTGGATTTGAGCAATTGCAAAGAATTAAAGAAGTTATTTCAAAACTAATAACCGTCATTATTTACAATGAGTTTAAAAGAGTCAACTCAAAGATTACCGGCGTGTAACTCATGGAGATACTCACGATGTACCTATATAACAGAAATCAACAAGCACTGACTATACGTCAGTAGTATGTTTCAAAAGAATGGCTTTTAATTGTTAACTTCAATTGGGTCGTTTTATCGAAAAGTTTGGTTAGGTTTGGTTAGAATGTATCCTGCATCATCATCATGTTAGTTGAGAGGCTAAAGTGTGGTGTTTAGTAGGCTCTGGGCCTAAGTCCTGTCAATCACTAATTGCAAATTGATAGTTGGTAATCACTTAATCCTGTAATTTGTTGAATACCCCGGTCATGGACTCTGCTAGAACCACCTATCTAAGAACCGGACATGCCTACGAAATACTGTACATATATTATAATTATAACTAAGGTACATGTTATAACAAGTCAGTGACATCTAATTGATAATTAAATGTGTTTCTCTTACAAAGAAAGCACAGTAAAATTTAGTACTGTAGGTCTTGCATTATTTTGAATATACCAAAAAATATTTATATTCACTCTATTAATTGTGCAACATGGTGTATCAGTAAAGGTTTTGCACATACAATTCAATCGTTTGCAATGAGAGAATGAAATATCACAAATATGTTTGTCAAAGACTGAAAAAAATACTAAGTTGGTTAACAAATGTAATCCCTTTGATTTTTATGTCCATGTAAAATTATTCCAATTATTTCCAACTTTTATATTAACGAATAGTTTTTTATCCTGTTAATTAATCCTCTAAACTGTGTGGTAATCAGATTATGAGTTCATAGCTTTCAGTTAAACGTGCAACCATCACTCAAAGTCAGCTTAGACTCTGCTTACTGCTAGGTTGTGAATTATGCAGGCTGGTAAATAAACTTAACTATGAATCAGGCTTTACAAATTAAATAAACAGGCTATTTTATTATAGAAAATGTATTAAATGCACTAAAAGTGAAATTGTTAACATATATTATCACACAAAGACCTGTTCGACAATAATATTTATTTGATCGTGTTCTATTATAATAGATCAATAATATTTTATGAGCATACTACATTCATCAATATGCTATGTGATTTATTAGTCCTTCATTTATGAGCTTTCAAAAACACAAGTAAGTTTTACATTTTTTCTTTCAAAAAGATATTCTTTCATAATTTTTTCTGAATAAAGTCTTTGAAATTGTCCATACACATGAATCGACATGTTCTTCATTAAAATTATATTTACTTTGAGGTACCTTGCAAAAAATGTTATTTATTGATATACAATACATCACAATGAACATTTGCTTCAGAGAAAGAAATTTTCTTATGTATATATTGTATACTTTTGTCACTTTTATTACAGAAAATAATCTAAATTATTCTTTTATAGTGTGTTTTATCTGATTTATATGGCCTCCTTCATACGATGATACTTGAGGAGGACTTGTTTGAGGAAGGATGTGATGGTGTTTAATTCCTTTCAAACTTAGCAGTATTAAAAGGCTGATGATTAAGAGTGAATGAAGTATTTTAAAGTAGTTCACACTTTTCATTGTTCATCTTTACTATTTTTTCGTAATCAAAAATTGTTATAGCGTTTTGAAAGCAATTTAATCATAACTAAATATTGAACGTCAGCCAATTTTACTAAACGTGTCCAGTCATTATTAGGCCTAAATAGTCATTTATTTACCTAAACATTAAATGAGACCTAACCTTTTGACCACAAAGCATATACGATTTTGACCACATTATCACGATTACTGAACCATTTTGATAAAAAGGTTCAAGTCACAAACGACGAAACGCGACCTCAAAGCTAATGAAATCTTGTAATCCTCAAACTTTTCTTCCATTTCAAACTGCCTTAATTCACTTTCATCCCTGGTCCCGCTTCAGCTTACAGCTTCTCTTAACATTCATTCGTATTTAATATAAATTATTCTTTTGATTAATTTTTACTTTCTTGTTCGGTATATCATTAGTCGATAGTTAATCATGTCATTAACTATCATGACTAAGAGTTTTTGTTGTAAGTTTTTGTTTGTAGTTGGTTAGTAATTTTCTTCTTTGAAGACTAATTCACTGTGTAACGAAAAAGTTAAGGATAAATAAATCGCCTCCATTTCATTAACAGTTCAAGTAATTTAGTGTGATATGAGGTGTTTAATAAATCAATCTACATTCTATGCATGCAATAATATAAATATAAAAACTAGTTTAAATTTAATATAGTTTTTGCTAAATTATTCGTATTTATTACCTCTTAAGTAAATAATTTTCTGTTCATTTTTTCTTGTAAGTTTCAAATAACTTAAGTTACCATTATCCCCCTATAACGGTAAAAGTAACCTTAACCAACTACACCATACCTGCGGAAAAATATTTCTATACCCTACATAACATTCTGCCTAAATTTGCATACTTCTGTAAAAGGATGAGCAATAACTCGATTTCATTTGTATCAATTGTGTGGTCCAGGTACTTCATATACATGCTTTCGTCCTGATATCTCAATCATGTCTTTGTTATTGCACCTCATTATAGCGTACAACCTTTGACTATCCCATAGTCAATGATACAACTTAGGGTTGTGGTTACATATGTATTACATTACCGTACCAAAAATATTGTTTTAATGGCAATGCAAAAAGATATTTTCCACTTCGTGCTATCGATTACTAAGCTATTAGCGAATAAAATTTTAAATAGTAAATTTAATAACCAAACGTTGGAACAGCCTATGACGTCATTTGAGGTCTACTTAACAGAGGAGTAATGTGCATTATTGTATATATAAACCATAAAGTGCTTAGCTGCTGTAAGGTTTGAAATTATTTTCTTCTGTTTTCAGGATGCTCGAGTACTGTTTGAATGTGGAGAACATTAACCTGACAGCCATCAGAACTATTCGAGTACTAAGACCACTACGAGCCATCAACAGAATACCGAGTAAGTAGCTGATTATTACATTGATAAATATTCTATTGTTGGATATATTAAAACAATATTCACAGGGTTAATCTCGTGTAAGATCGTCCATCAGTGTTTTTTAGGAGTTGTTGTAGACACAATTGGGGTTTTATTATGACTAGAGGTCGTCCAGTGGTCGAAACTCGACCAAAAATATTTAATGTACAGACTTCTTTATTTTCATTCCACACTTTGAATAGAACATGTGATTGGAGTTTCTTCCATTTGTTTTGGTTTTCTGTTTACATTTCGTTGTTATTTCGTCACCAGCATGGCAACTCATAATATCCGTGTTAAATTTTTCAAAATTTTAAATTCATTTTTTGTGCTTATTTTTGAGCCTATTTTAATTTAAAAAGGGATTCTGCACACCTACAGGAAAATAGCTTTCTAACAGTATGCGTAGATTTTCCCTACGATGCACACGAGCTGAGAAAAAAGGTTTTAAAGAAACATGCTTGCCTATTAATATATAGATAGATTACCTATCATTATTTATAAGAATCTGGAGTTCTCATATTAATATAGCGACCAATTAAGTTTGAAACACCTTAAAATACAATTATTTTAACCAATCAACATAAATAAATTACCATAGCAGTTTATTTTTTCATGTAAAATGTCCATAGCTTTTAAATGCATCTTTTAACTTGAACATGACTCATTGAATTCGAGGGGCTTACGGAAAAAATATCAATAAAGCTGTAAGTTAGAATAAAAAGAAATACGTTGTAATACAAATTTCTTTGAAAACTCAAATATTTGCAACAGTTGCACTGTTCTGTATTTCAACAAAAGACTGGTAAATAAAGTAGACTTAAATGTAAAATTTGTTTATAAAACTCTTTGGGTAGAAATAGTGTTTTTATGGAGTAAATACTATTATTTATATAAAGAGTTGTCATCGTATGGAACCAAAAATGTATTATATGACCCACTGCATCCCTTAGAAATTTAAATTTTATTAATCCTAAACATAAACTAGAAACATTAGGGAAATAAATTATTCAAAGACCTTTTTATGAAAATGAAGAAATTCCAATAAAGAAATATTGGCTAAGGAGTTAAAAGGGTTTATTGGAATGAGTTGGAATGTCTGGTGCACTGGAATAATAAACTTTCAACCAATGAGATTCACGATATTTCTTTACGGACTGTAATAAAGTTTGTTAATAAAAATTTGATGGGTACCTATAATGTGTATTAATTCCAAATAAACTATATTTTACCCTCATTATTCTGCATAAAATTAAATTTAACAGCAACTTCAATTAATCTAAAATTGTTTTAACTCAGGGCTGTTTAGATAAAAGATTGTAGATTCCTCAATTAAAATCGTTCACCTTAGGATTTGTCTTGAAACTATAACTATACGATTGACTTTTACTGTAAAATATACAAGATGATGAATACCTATTAAATTTTGTAATCCGATCTTATGTTTTTTCTCATTTGATATTTTTTTACATTTTAAAAGGCGTATTTTCAGTAAAACCATTGTTAAAATTAGGATTGCATTTTTTTATTAGTCCTCCCTTAGTTTCATAAAACCATTAGAACCCAAACAAAAGATCTGTATGGTCACATCATGTTAATGTAGGATCTTTATAATAATTTGACTGATAAATGTCATTTTAGTATTGATGATTTACCAAGATGGATTATACGTTTGTATTTTAACCAATCGAGTATTAAATATAAGGGTTTACCGTGCAGTATCGTTTTAAAAGATTATATTTAGAACTTTGAATTGCTTTGTAATTGGAATTAGAGTACATAGCTATTTTAGTGGTTAAAGTTCAAGACTTGTTTCTTAGGATGTGTAGTTTAAAATATTATCAATCACTAATGGTGCTTTAAAGTTTAAAATCCTGACATTAGTACAAAATCACTAATGGTAATTTATTATGTAATGCGTTCATGACCTGGTAAATCAAAGGCCGCCTTAAACTCTACATCAACCTGTAATGAAAAAACCTCTTGTGTGATTAACCATTTCTCTCAATGAAGGCCAGCATGCTTTTGCATAGTTACCTATTATGTGAAATTAACTAAACGATACACTTATATAATTCATCAAATAAAGGTAAAAGGTACGATAATAATGAATTTACAAGATACTAAATACGCGCCTAAATAAAATTGTTTGAAGAATGTTTTGCTACGTTCGGCCCTCTCCGGTCAATAATAGGATTGGTGGCCGACACAAAACAAGGTTAACCCTGCCTCAGTAAAGATTACAACGGTCCAGGAAACATCGAAAGTTACGTTAGGTTAACAGTGTAGGCCCAATGTTGTACAAATGTCCGATACAATAAAAGGGAGTCTTAGATTCAGTAATGTGATTGAAAATCATTAAATAATTTGTAATAGATAACATTGGAAATTGTATGATTTAGTCAGTGTATATTGAAAATGTTGGATTACCTATGATTCCCAGATTATCAAATTAATTACCCATCGATTTCTTTGTCTAAAAAATTGTAACATTGCCTAATAAAAGCTTGATTAACGTGTAGACATTTTATTTGGTGTAGTCTCCAGACTAAATATTTAAACACAAAATACCCATCGAGCAATATTATTTTCAATCTAAATTTACTTTCCTTATTGTTCACTGATAATTCATAGATATAATTATAGTATAAGGATTTATTTACATTTTTATGCTATGGATGGTTACAATCCTCCTTACATTTTTTTTCTTAGAACGCTTGGCTCTAGCCTGGGATAGTTTTTCTGATTACGCCTGGAATTGCGTAATTACCCTAGGGATTTCGGCAATATCACTTAGATAAAATGCAGTGATTTGGCAGGATTTGAACCCAAGACCTCAGGGATCTTAGTCCATCGCTCCACCACTAGACAAGATCGCTCCCCTTATGGTTGCAATCCTCCTTACCGCAATGATGCTCCTTGAAGATTGCAAATTACAACTTTTACGCTGAACAATAATTTATCAAATTGAAGAAAATTGCTGAGTAGCACACCACATAATGTTAAATAGATCGTTACCTTGTGTGAGTTTCTTCAGCGTTTTCGGATTCAATGATAAAAACAAACATCTCATACTCCAAAATTCCTGTGGAACTGATATATTACAAATCATTAAGTCGTTTACAACCATTTTAGATTGTAATGCTAGTTTTAAATACCTTGTAAACACCTATACACTGTAGCAAATGCTAGTATATTTATTTGTGTGCCAGTGTTACATTGCATAAAAAATGTTTGTTTAATATCATAACATATTTTTGCCGATGTCTCAATATATTTCACGTAACCTTAAAGTTGTAATAGTGTTGAATGTTAGTGTGCATTATTATTGTGGTGAATAGTGCTAATAGAGTATAGTGTGGTAAAAAATAGCGTTCGTACCACGGGCCAAAATGGTTTTGCAGCTCTCGATCGTTTTAAGTTCTAGGTCTCATCTGAAATAAAACTAGACTATAAATACTCTGATACTATACAGCCATCAAAGGAAAAGTGTAAAAACTGCATCAAAGTAAAAAATTTAAGGGAATAACTTATTTAAGTAACTTAGCGTAGGAATCAAATCGGTACAATATTCAATAGGCCACCATTTTGTTTCTACAAATGTTAGACATCGGAGATGTTAACAAAATATTTTCAAACCCGTTATAATAGGCTTTGTAGGGCTTCAAAAGGTTCATTGCAAATTGTATTACAATGTAGAAAAGATAAGTACAGTAATAAAAAAAAAATTAAACTTGTTTGTGTTTTTATTTTTATTTGATGCTTTAGAGTAGGTAGAACTACATTTTTTGCTTAATTATGTCATTGGCTATCAACTATGGTAACTTTGTTAATGTAATTAATTAGTAAAGGATTTAAATGTCACAAATGTTGCAAACTCAATTAACATAACTGTTTACTAGTTTTATTCGCATTCCCAGTCAATAACAGAAATTAAATAGTTAAAATGGCAATTACATTTAATTACAATTGAGTTGACTAGGGTACGTTGGGAATAAACATTCATACGTTTAATTTACAAATCACTACCTAACTCGTTGTGATTTTGTAATATATGTAATATAACAATATCCATATTGTTAGGCATTAACAAAATGATGAATTGATGCTCACTTTTTCGAGGGACAATAAAAACACACGTTGTAAAAATATTCAAAATATATTATTACTAACTCTAATTATTACCCTAAGCACTATACACTAATTCTAGGCATCTAAGTAGCTATGTAGGAGCTTAGGTTGGATTTATATAAAAGTTTTCACGATGACAATTAAACGACAGGTGTCTTTGTTGACTTTATGAAGGCCTTTGACCTGGTTAACCATACTATCTTACTATTTAAGCTTGTAGCCCAGTAACTTAAGTAAAAAATCAAGGCCAACAAAGACATGAAAGATGTAAAGCTGATTTTTTGCATGGTGATAGTGTATGATAGGAAGGGTGTTTTCTGAAAGTTCCCCGGATTTCCCCCCCTTGCTTCCCCTTAAACCCCCCCTCCCCCAAAACACCAGGTTGAAAGTGTAGTGTTTTACTAAATCACCTATATCTTTTGATGTAAACAAGCTATCAGCATAATTGTTTTTTCTTTGAACTCCCCGTTAAATTTACTTTAATAAAATAACCTTACATGTAGCATTATCTCTATTGGGTGGGTTTATATCTGTGATATAACCAAAATTTTTTTTAACATAAAATTGTAGATTAGGTCAAACCCCGGTTTTTGCAGTAGGTCGTACGTCAATGTGTTTGAAACAAAACTTTTTACCTATTTTATGAGCTTTCCAAAAATGTATAACAATATATATTTTAATTTAAGTTGTTACCGAATGAAGCTATTTAAATCCATGCTTCACTTAGTGCACTTAGTGCATCATTCCAAATTGTTCAGTAAATATTACTAAATGATTACTTTTTATTTATTTATTGTTTACATACCCTGTGTGAATGTTTAACAAGCAAAATAAGAACACTCAATTACAAA